ATAAAAAACTCTTTGTTGAACCAGTTGAAATCTACTAGGCTTTTAATACTTGCTTTGCGCAAACCATCTAGTTTTTTGTTTATAACAGCAATGGCTTGAGAAATTTGACTATTTGCTCTTAGTACTATTCGGCAAGTATAACAAAGCATGTATCATGTAAAATACTACAGCAGGATTTAAGATGTCATTAAAAAGCGACTGCCGTAATTATATCCATTAATTGTTACAAACTGGCTTGTTTCAGAAAAATGGATTCCAAAAACGCACGGAGCTATTCAAATATTAAATTCACTATTCATGAAGTTCCAGATGAACACCACAGTAAAACCATTTTCACTCCTAAGTCCATAAAGTTCAATTGCTACCATGATGAGTTTCAGACGGTAAAAGTTTCCATTGCTTTTTTAACCATGGTCAAATCAACCACGCTCTCCTACATCCACTTTAATATGTATGGCTTAATATAGTATTTGATATCAAATGTTTTTCTTTTATGTCAACCTTATAATAGCTACAAAAGAAAAATACAAACATTCTCATTATAATTACTAGGAGCTAGTCACTAACAGTTTAAAGCATTTTAAAACATAGCTTTAGTTGCCGTATTTGATGTGAAAATGAGCACGTATATGCGAGATATGCGTACACAAGCGCTACCAGTTCACTTATGCCAATTAAATAAACGACAATAACATTCTTGAGGCAAAACCGTACTATGTTATCAATGCCAATGACTTCGACTGACGGGTTAGGTTTGTACCTTTACCTGATTATGTGTCTATAAGATGCTAAAATTATAGTTTTCTTAGTTATTAGAGAAGTAGGCAATTTACCTGTCTCGTTAGTCTAAAATACATGTATGACATCCGTTCTTGAACGGGAAGAACATTCGGGGAGTGTACTGGATAGGTCCGCTTCTCGACGCCCATCCACGCATTCGACGCACGGCCACATCTTCTTTACCTAGCTCTACTCTGGTGCCTTAATTTTAGATTTAGCCACCTTAGCGATCGGACAATAAAGCTTTCTGGCTTATTTTCGTGTTATCTACGGTGCGCTCTCAATTGGTCGTTTAGCCACGTGGCAGACGTATAGCCCAATATCGACACGCTATTCACCATTGGTAGGTAAACACGATTATACTAAGTTGCTAAAACAGTCTCAGTAATATGCTTGCACGTAAGCACGTTGCTCAAAGGTTGGATTCTAACGACATTTAGTTCGGTCGCTTTTTACAAACAAATAAAAACACTTAATTACGTAGCATTTCCTATTTGTCCAGTAGAGGATTCCGCTTACCTTCAGGCTGAAGCAAAATATATTGGTATCCACTATTTTGTTTACAATTACAATTATTATTGGACATACATCAGACACACAATAACATCTTAATAAACTTGCATACAAGAAAAGAAGCATAAGCCATGAGCATAAAATACTGTCATTTATAGGGTGGTTGATGTTCACTCACCCACACATCGTCCGTGACACATATTTAACGGTAGATATTTCGGATATACGATAAAGTCTAGACCCCGATTTTCTCTCATCTGCATAACGTCCAATGAGTATTTGAAAAGACAACATTTGGCGGAATCACGCTGTGGGTTTAAAAAGCTTGGACAAGCCGGATCCTCTGGAAACCCATACAACGAACGCGGAATTAACTTGCGAGTGGTATATTTATTGATCACATCCAAAACCGACTTTGTGTAGAGTTCCAAGGTAACTTGACTGTCTGGCCAAAGGATACTGGGGCAATTGACAGGCTTCGTCCAATCCTGCCAGTAAACATAAGACCTTGCTTTTTGGTTGGCAGGTGGGCAGTCAAAAGTGAATGTTAACGGGTAACGTTTTTTAGCGCGACGCTTGCTTATTGCTGCCAGGGTTCCCGTGACATTCCGACGTACGTATGTTCGTTGATTACGACCTCCAGTAATAAGGTGGGAAACTTTGGTCGCATTTCCGACATCAGCGTCACTCATGAAGGTTATATTCATTTTTAAAGCAACGGAACTTGCGCCAATTAGCAGTCCTCTGATGCTCAATTTCTTGTATGCAACCACAGAAAGTATGGCGTAGACCACCGGTTCTTGTGGCAGATCAGATTCATCATTCAAGGCAGCACAAGCAACAACCGGACCCTGTGCGTGGGGCTGACAGTATCCTTTAAAGGAATAAACAAATATCCGTTGCTGTGGTTGTCAACACTTCATCAAATAATAAATGATTTATTTCTTATTCAATTATACTAACTTCGACAATGATATCAGGGTGCACGTGTTCATCATGTGCTTCATTATGCATCTATATACATGGTTGTCGTCAGTTCCATTTTGTTAAAAATACTTTCAATTTGCATGAAAATAAATATGTTATTAAATCTTGAGATATTTTGCACACAGTTTTACTTTACTGCCATAAGGAAAACACAGTAAAACAATTTATCTGTCACCAGAAATACCCAAATTACATTACGCATTCCGCAGTTAAAGAATAAAAACAATACGTAATTTTTACAAATAACGTGTTTAGGTGCGTATGCATGTCCAATTTTCCTGCATTTAGGCACCTTTCAATGGTCAATTTTTGGTTATATTATGCAATTGATGTAATGTACCATCTGTTTATGTTATAAAATTGAGCATGGTAGCGGATGTGACTCGTCTCCAACTAAAGTTACAGCACCATGCTTACCCAGCCAATCACATTCCCAACACGGACATCAATCCTCTCTTATCACGTTGTCCACGCGACCAATCACAAGTGAGGCGGCACACGAATACCAACACACATGGACTCCCATATACATTCATAAACTCACAGCACCAATGTTAATGGCAAACCTGCACCAATTTATATACGTTCCCCGACTTTTAGTTATAGCCTTACCTTGATCAGGCCTATACATGCATGTCACGCATCGTTCAAGAATAAAGAATTTTATATTTGCTTGTGCTATATGAACTAACAATATTTTGGCGGCTTTTCAACCTGCTATACTGTATAACCACTTTCGAATGGTGACCTCTCATTGAGCTGCGAGTACGTTTTAATAGGTGGTAGTTTGGTTGGCTGGACTATTTAAATTTCTGATATCCATTCGCAACATAACCTAACAACCAAAGATATTTTGCACTGAAATAATTTGAAATTATCGGTATAACTTGGTACGTAAAATGCTGCGTCTCTTTACATTTTTCTTGATTAGTCAATGAAAGTTTCCAAAGCAGCCAGGAGATTCTACCCAAGGTGTGGTTCATGGATTGGTAGTCAAACGTACGCACTAAGAAGTTGCAAAAGACTGCGGCATCAAACCAGCCAAACCCGATCGGCTGTAGTCACGAATGTTATCTTGCTTTTCTTGCTAATTTTTTAGGCCGCGTCGAGCAAACGCGTTTGCAGTAAGTGTATCCATCAAATTCAAATTCATAGCAAGCACGTTGCAGTAGGTGCCATGCTGTGAACTAATAATAGGCTCCCTGTTTTGGATACCAATTACAATACACTTGTATTGTATTGTATTTTATTGTATTGTATTTAACACGCTTATCCTGTAAGATGGCCTTATGTAAGCCTTATAGAATTCATTAGTGTGTTGTAGGTCAAGTCGCTGTTTTCGGTAAAGACTCGTCGCAGCTAGACTTCACTAGAAAGTCAAGACATTTCTAGGAAAGTGCTAGACAGCAATTTCTTCATCTTGGTTGCTGTCAATAGGGCGCTTCCACAGAACCGTGTCGGATTCAGACGCTTGACCTACTTCTTCAGGCCAACGATTTATCCCGCCGTCACAGATGACAGTGTTTGCGTTCGACAATTGATATTTAACTGCGATATAGTGCGGCTCGTCCTCCACTGACATGCAGGTTGTAAATGTGCCGCGGACAGGGTTTTCCTCCACAGCTAAGACATCTTTTGCAAGCCACTACTAGTCTAGATGACACATAAACTGCCAAGACGATTGTAATCCTAGTTGCCACTCACTAATCATCGGTGATCAAGGTAGCAACTTACATCTGCTTGCTTGTTGGCTGCTTGCAAATGACGTCGTAATTCTTGGGGCCAATAATCTATTCTGCACGTTCAAAACATGCATGGCCACTGAGGATGGGCTGCACTATATTGTAGTTAGATAGCCGTTTTGGCAGCCCGCCGCCATCACTCACGGCTCAGTGGCATAAGTGGCTGGCCAGAGAAAGGACGATAATGGATTCGAATCCAGAAGTATTCAAGAATCGCACGATATTGAGAACTCCTACTATGACGAAACGGCTGTCTGGCGCTTTCCTAGAAGTGTGGTGGTTGTCTGGCTGAGTCTTATTTCACCGTACTTTCTCTAGTGGAGTTTGTCTTGCAGTAACTTGTGGCCATCTGAAAAACTAATGACCCAAGAAATGTTGAGATCACTCGACATGAGTAGATGGTTTGTGCTGATCTTTCATGTGAATGTTTTTCTAACACCAGAGATCGTCTTGGACTTAATACCGAGCATTAAGGAACACAACGACGCACCCCCACCGGGTCGTTAAAGAACTCACATATTAAAACGGATTTGAACTACGAATGTGCTTTGGATAGTTTCGCTGATCCCATAACTCAGATACTTGCAACTAACAATGTACGAATTTAACTTCTCAGACTTCTTTAACAAAATCGAGCTAGGTTGTGTTGAATTTTAAACAGCAACAAAATTATCCGTCCAAACGACATAAGCTAACAAACTTTTCTGCTGCCTGACTGGTTCCGGCGAGTAAGTTAGCGCTTCGGAAAGATAGTAAGGCATATTTCCAAATATCTTAACAATCAAGCTGTAAGGAGAATTGATATAATCTTTAAAAACAACAGCAAAACACTAATCATACATCGGTTTGCGGGTGTAATTTTATCTGCCCCCTGCAAAATAGATTGACTGTATTCACGATTCTACACAGTTTGAACATGTAGGGCGTCGAGAGATGGATAAAAGAACGGAGACAACGGTTCGGTCAAGCTCGAAGGAAACTAGCTTTAATGACCGGAGACGTTTGCTTTCCGAATTAGGTGCAAGTTGTCTTGCGGTGAAAACAGCCGCTTCAAGGGACCCGCCGTAGGGATTTAGATATGACCAAATCATAGTAATAGCGAGATCTCCGTCAGAATGTTTTGCTATGGCTGTGCCTATTGAGAATAAAAATTAAGTTATGCTCTAAAAGCTTTGGATGCTTTTTGAACAGTTTCACTTATCCACAAGCGCTATGTAGGCGAATGATCTTTTACTGCACTTTACGCATTGTGACGAAACGCCTGGTTTATTGCATGGATAATATAGTTAGAAAAGGACCAAAACTTTATAAATTTGCACAAGCACTTAATACTGCCATAGGTAAATGTATGTTAGAATATAAGTTAACATTGTGCTATGTTTCTATTAAAAAAGGGAACAACTGTTTTCGAATATTTATGATTTTAATACACCGCGTCGCTATCAATCCTTCTGTGCGACGTGTTCGTTTCATTTCAAGCATACCTCATCCATCTCCCTCTGATTATTCGCTTTAAGACACATACGCATCTTTGTCGGTTTGTAATCTATCTTCTATTCTCTACCGATCCGGAATCTGCTTGTTTCACTTTGTATTCCGTCACTTATACGGAACAAACGTGTATGAGACATTTAATTAACAATGATACAAGGAATAGAGTGCACGTTAACTCAATCACTGTTGAAACTGATCATGTGCTCGACTGCGTTCTGGATGCATTCCTATCTTCTGGTCGTGTGGATGAATTTATTTGTTGTCCTTTTTAATATTGTCACCGATACAGCTTAAAACACCCGAGGAATGATCCATCGCTGCTTCCTCAACACTATACTATAAGGCACAATGTTCCTTTACCTGGACATGGATAGTGGATTACCAGCGGTTGTTACACTTATCGACCGGAGAAATTATTCGTTATCTTGGAACGATATAATTCTTCTGATGCCTGAAGGATTGGATTCAAATCGTCTAATAGTAATTTTTTTACATACTTCTTTTCTGGAGCTCTTCTGTTGAAATTTAACGTCAAGATACATGCAAGGACATTTCATTTGACTTCGCAAAACAATTCTGCAATTGATGTAATATCATTCTCAATACCACAAACCCATATTCATCGTTAACATTCACTGAGTCCAGAACAATTGCAATCGGGCCTTTATCGCTAGTGAACAAATACCCTCTACTTACAACCCATCTGGAAGTATTCACTCTGCTTTACCGTTCACTTAGTCGTTAATGCCTATATTTCCAATCAGTTTTACAACTTACCCCTAGAGGATCTTCGCTCTGTAGTTCGGAACAATTTCCTATACTTCGGGGTCTGAACAATTGGGTTCGGCCTTCTTCAGCGCTTCAAAGGTACTTCAACATGATATTTTACTGGATATTCCCCGAAAAATTCACATGGCTCTACAGACGATCAACTCATGACATTCAAGTAATGTTCAGTTTATGGCCTATTTACAAATGGGCCCAGTCATTCGATCAGGACAGGATAGGAAGCAGCGACGAAACAGGCACGCGCCTGACATGCGTCAGCCAACGAAAAATTTGACACAACTTGACTGCGAATAACCGAGCAAGTAATGGCCCAGCTACTTGCCATTCAGTGGATAGGTGGCAGTGTTCCAGGACGCGTTGGGTTGTACCAGTCAAGCGTCCACCATAAAAAAGGCACAAATGTCCGTTTAACAACACTGCGACGTGGAGGATGTGACTCGCCCGCGAATGAAGTTACAGCCCGTGACTTAACACTGGCAAGTCAACAAGCGCGATTTTCACAGTTCTTGAAACATTCACTACGCTGACACTTCCGCATCTTCATATTCCGTCCTCATTTCTCTTCTATAATTTCCCCGGTAATCTTCGCGTTACGTACACATGAACTCAGAATATCCTCACATCTCCAGCGACCTTGCTCTACAAAAAAGTTTTAATCGGTAATCCGGAATTCTTGATATTTTTTGGGTGGTGTA